GGGAGGTATCCTGGGAGCCAGGTGAAGGAAGGTGTGTCACATGCTTCTAGCAGGTTAGGGCAGATGAGGACTGAGATTTGACCTTTGGATGGAGATAGGTGGAGATCATTGATTCGCTAGATAAGAGCAGTTTCTGTAAGCCTGGTGGGGAGAGGATTCAAGGAAGCCTGCCTGGTAGAAGAGAAATTAGAAAAGAGCCCTTTTGAGGAGTTTGGGAAAGAATTTGAGTGTTAGCTGGATGGCAAAGTGTGGTCTAGAGAGAGATGTTAGTTCCTTGGTTTGAGAATTACTGATTTATTACTGTCACAAAGTATTTTTGTGACAGTAGTCTTTTCCCTTCAACTTTTTATTTTTGACAAATACCAAATCACAGAAAAACGTGGATACTATACACCCTTCACTAGTTTAACTGTTGTTTACATCTCGCCACATTTGCTTTCTCTTAGTATATTAATGTATTTCTTATATTTTCTGAGCCACTTTTAAGTTGCAGAGATAATTCACCCTAAATACTTTAGCTTATATCTTTTAAAAATAAGGATGTTTTCCTGTGTAACCACAACATCATTATCATATCCACGAAATTTAATATAGATATGATAGTATCTAAAACATAGTTAATATTCAGACTGTATATTTTTTATATTTTAGTGTCAGGTTCAGGTCTAATAAAAGGTCACCCATTGCTTTTGATTGTCACATCTCTGAAGGGATTTTTTTTTTTTTTTAGGATGGGAGAAATAATAGCACATCCATATGCTGATTTATATGCTTGTTTTAAAAATCTAACAGAGTGAAAATAGATGATGCAGAAGTGGGGGAAATTGCCAGAGTGATAAGTTTGAGAAGATGGGAGAAGATGGGATGTATCCATCGTGGGGCAGGGGTGACCTTTGATAGGAGCAGGGACAGTTTATCCAGAGTAACAGGAGAGCAGACAGAACCTGTGGGCAGGTGGGTGGGTAGAGTAGGGAGAGCTGGAGAAAATTCTCTTTTGATTGCTTTTATTTTCTTGGTGAAATAGGAAGAATGGTATTCAGCTGAGAGGAAGGAAAGGCAAAAAGGTGTTACAGGTTTAAGAAAAGAAGGTATGAAGTTGTTGTCTGAGACAGTCATCTTCAAAGTAGGGCATGCATATTGCCGAGCATACACAAAGGCTTTCCTAAGGGCACACATTTATGGACAGTCTTAAGGGAATCCTTGTGTAGACCCTAAATCTCTGCAGGCATGCTTCCGGGAAACTAATGTGTCTGAGAAATAGCCTCTTGACAATAGGCTTCCTCCCACTTTGGAAGAAAAGGCAGACCCTCACCCATCCCAAATCTGAATTAATTATATCACCCCTTGAATTGTCTGCTCATTGATTTTATTCTTCTTCTTTATTTTCTTAATCCAGGGGGGGGGGGAAACTTACTTTCTGGAAGCAGAATGCCCTTATTAAAGATCCTTTCACCCCAAATTCCCATAGCTTATGATCCTGCTTAGGGGTTGCTACCTCCTTGTTTCCAATGTCAGCCTTCCCAGTGTGTCTCTATTTCTCTTTTCCCTCACCGGCACTTCACCTCTGTGTTCCTGCCTCTCCTTTGATCTTTGTCTTTTCTCTGGTTTTCAGGCTTGGTCACGGTGGTGGGAACAACTCCTGCAAGTACCTCTGCGTTCCTGCCTCTCCTTTGATCTTTGTCTTTTCTCTGGTTTTCAGGCTTGGTCACGGTGGTGGGAACAACTCCTGCAAGTGCAGAGGGAGAGATGGAAGGTGGTCTCTGCAGTGAAACACCATCAGCACTGGCAAAAGTGGAGATCCCTGAAGGCTTGGATTGAATACCTGCAGGGCCGCAGAGTAAAGAGACAGCAGAACGGTGAGCAGGAAGTCCTTGGGCTTGAGAGACAGAGGGTTGGGTCACAATTTCCACTCTCCTTCTGCTAGTGGTGCTCATTTATTAAGGAGAGCTATAACCATATTATGCCATACATTTTGGAAAAAGGAAATTGAGGAGGAAAATACATCATCTTCGATTGACATTTAAGTGATTTTCTTCTGGTCTTTTCTTCTATGCATATATTTTATTCAGTAGGGTTTTAATTATGCTATAACTATTGTGATTATTATGATTAATATACATATAATTTTGTATATTGCTTTTTTCCCCCCACACAACTAACCACCACTTTCCTATGTCTTTAGGTATTCTTCATAAATGCAAATGATTGTATTTTATAGAATGGCTCACCTTAATCTGTTTAGCCATTCTTCTGTTGATAGATATTTAGATTGTTTCTGTTTCTCCCCAGTCATGCAAATGCATATGATTTATGATGTTGAGTTTTTTTAACACTATTCAAATGGTTTATTTCCCAATGAGAGTTCAGAAGTAATAATACATAGGTCATGATCATCAGTAGTTTCTGTACTTTGGTTTCTTGAACCTACACAGAGGTGACTTAAGCCCTGTGCTAGACACTGGGTTGGGCTCTTCAGCTTTCACTGAGGTCTCCCTGCAGAAATCTTCCAGACTGTCCATTTGAGAATAGTGACAAGGGACTAATGTCTAGTTGCCCAAGCTTTAAGGTGAAGGCATTTTAGACATGATGAGCTGCACACTAACGTTTGTCCAATTAAGGCCTTCGAATTCCAGGGCCTACGCCCTTCCACTTCCTGGACTTTAGCTCATCAGGCCATTAGCTAATTAGTGTTAAAAAGAAATAGATCTGGCAGCTGGGATCAGTCTGACTGAGAGCTCAGAAAAGCCCTTGCCAGCATGTTGACTGAGTTGTGTGTCATTGACAGTCCCTAAAGTACTATCTGGGAGACATCAGTAAAGAGGACTAGATAAACATAAATTTTTAAAAACACAGTGATGAGTCAAGTAAAACTGAGTCTTTAAAAGCAGCAGTCGCCATTCCCACTCATCAGTAGTAACTAGGAGTCTCAGATCTTGGATGTAACTGATTTTATAGCATCCACCTCCCTAAAATTACAGACCTTATTTTTTTCCTTGGTGCAAAGAGGTATAGCTAAAGGACTCCTAATAACCCTCCCATGTTTAAAACAACGTTTGGGGCTGGCTGGGTGGCTCGTTGGTTAAGAGTTGGCTTGGGAGCAGGAGCTCTGAGCAGCAGGGCCACCGGTTCGGATACCACATGGGCCAGTGACACTGAGCCCTCTACAGCTAAGATGGTGAACAACAGCTTGACCTGGAGCTGGGCTGCCATGAGTCGCCGGTGATGGTGTAGGCTGCAGTGGGCCTGCAGCGGGCTGCCATGAGCTACTGTGAGTGGCCAGCAGCAAGCATGAGCGGCCGGCAGCCGGCATAAGCTGCCATAGCTGCTGTGAGCAGCTGTCCAATGGCCAGCGACCAATCTGCCTCAGGGAAGAGCACAATGATAATACCAACATGGGCCAGTGAAGCGACGTCCTCCACAACTAGACTGAAGAACAAAAGGACAGCAACTTGTCTGTTTCTCTTCCCCAATTCCCCCAATGGTGTTTCCTCCCCCAATTTCCCAATAAAAACCTTTAAGAAAAACAAAACAAAACAAACAAAAAAAACAACATTTGTTCTGGGACTCTTTGTGAGAGCAGCCTTGAATCCCTGCTGTCTGCCAGTAGTAGTGTTCAGCTCATCTTAAAGATGCTTCCAGCTCACCAGCCTTGGTGTGGGGGGGCAGCACTTAAGTTATCTTCTCCGTTGCAGAGATGGCTAAGCGATTCTACCGAGTCACTGTGCTCCAGACACACTTCCATGATTGGCAGTGGGCCTGGGAGCGGAGGGAGAGCTTGTATGCCCACCACGCTCAGGTGGGGGCACTGGCCAGGAAGATGGTGCTGCGCAGGGCCTTTATTCACTGGAAACACTGTATCCTTTTCAGCCACCCAGCCCTGTCCACCTCAGTCTGGACAGCACAAGCTCAGCAACCTGTAAGGTAAGAGTCAGGAGATACAGGGGAAACAATTACTAAACAATTACTCTATTGTCTTCTTTTTTAAAGTTTTTTTGTTTCATTGGAAATATTCATACAAAATAGTGTGTGTAACATACATTTACAATTTAAAGAATAATAAAATGAACACCTCTGTACCCCCCACTCAGCTTAAAAAATAGAACATGGCTGACACCCCTCGCTTCTCCTCCCTGACTGTATTCCCTTTCCTGTCCCTTGAGGTGACCCCACTCTCCTGAATTTTATGTTACCATTTCATTGCTTTCCTCAGCAGGATTTTTTAAGCCTAGGCCTTTGCCCCAGTGCTCATGTTCTGAATCACTGTCCCGACCACAGTGCGTGCCCAGGTGTGAGGATTTCGACTGCCTGGGATGAGATCCACCCGTTCGTTTGTTCACTGAACTCTTGCTTTGTTTTAAACTCCTGCCTAAGTTCTGGAATATGGGCAAACTCAGAAACTAACAGTAGTTCATTGTCTAGTAGGGGAAATAGACATGAAAATGGATCTTTACAGTATGGTGTGATAAGTGCTGTCATAAAGGTTTGTATGAAGTTCTGCGAGAGCTGCTGTGGCAATTCAGCCGTGGAGGTGATGTCTGAGCCAAATTGAAGTCTTAGGGGATGACAGGTTCGCCCAGCAGAGAAATCAAGAAGGGCGTCGCTGGTCGGAGGAATGGCATTTACACAGGCATAGATGAGGAAAAGCATCCAAGGATGGCAATGGGTGTTGGGAGGCTGTAGTGACTTGTGGGGGTATGGATAGGAGAGCTGTAGGTCAGCACAGGTAGGTACAGGCCAGGGATCCTTGTGTGTGGTGGTTGGGAATTTGGGCTTTATCCTGATGACACTAGGCATCCTCTGGAAGTTTGTGAGAAGTGGTGCAACAGATTTCTACTTTAGAAAGGATGAATCTAGATTAGAGGAGCAAAGCGAGCACAGGGAGACCAGTTATAGGAGGAGGCTTTCTTGCCTGTCTATGGGAGGGACAAGACAAATGAACTGCAGTGTGTTAGGGGCGGGGAGAGGAGAACAGGAAAGATTTAGGAGGCAAGCAGATGGACTTGGCAACCAAGTAGATGCAGGGAGTGGGAGAAGAGGTTTGAAAATAACTCCAAGCTTTTTAGCTCAAACATCTGACTGGATTGTGATGCCAAAGCAGAGAATGCAGGAGAAAGAGTAGGTTCTACTTTAAATATGGCGTTTTTGAAATGTTTACTGCAATTGGTGACCATTTATCTTAACTATTTTTTGCCTCTTGTGAAATGGGCATGAGAGGGGACAAAGGCAAGGCCAGCTGTTTGGTAAGTAACTCACATGGTTTCCCTTTGCCCACTCTTCCTTGGGTCATCAGGAGGAGATAGAGGTGGACATCAAGCTCTCTGGCATATCCCATGATCCCTGCAGCCAGAACCCTTCAGATGGGTCACTAGGATTGTACTCTGTGGGGCTGGGAACCTTGTTGAAACAAGAGGCCTTAACTCCTGGCAGATGTGCTGCCGTGTGCAGAGGAAGCTGCCCAGTGGAAGCTGGTGGAAGAGCACTGTAGGCGCAGTTTGCTGGTAAGCTTGTCAGCCTTGCTCAGGCATCCATTCTTCAGGGACCTGGACCCACATCATACTCTTCTTTTTTTTTTTTTAGCTGAGCTATCCTGCCACCTTTTGGCAGCTCAGCGGCAGCTCAGCTCAGGCCGGGCATCGAACTGCTGTTGCTCAGAGCTCAAACTCTTGAGCGAGCTCTTAACCAACTGAGCCACTCTTTTAAGAGCTTCTGGTCAAGTGGTGATCTTCAGTCATGAAGCCCTTCTTCGTCACAGGTGTTCCTATTTTCATTTCGGATCAGAGATGGTAATGGTATGGGGTCAAAGGGGTTTGGAGCTATAAACAAACCTTAGAGATCTAGTCCTAGGTTTTTTTTACATGGCGGGCCCTCTTTTAAATGGTGGGAACCTCATCTGTGAAATCAAAGTAGATATGCTGTGGGTGAAGCAAGAAGGTCTGGGGAGGGGGCCGGCCGAGTGGCTCAGTTGGTTAAGAGCTTACTCAAGAGCGTGAGCTCTGAGCAACAGGGTCGTGGGTTCGATTCCCACATGGGCCAGTGAGCTGTGCCCGAGCTGAGTTGCTAACAGGTGGCAGGATGGCTCAGCTGGAGAGAGCACGTGCTCCTAACAGCAAGTTGCCTGTTCGAGATGGTGGGCTATGCCCACCTGCAACTAATTGAACACAGCACCCTGAGCTGAGCGGCACGACTGGACTTGGAGCTGAGCTAGCTGTGCCCTTTGCAACTAAGATTGAAGGACAACAACTTGACTGATCCTCTCCCCCAATTCCCTAACACTGTTCCCCTCCCCCAATACCCCAATTAAAAAAAAAAAAAAAGGTCTGGGGAGTAGTTGCTCTTCTGGCTGCTGTCCCCCACCCTCACCAACACTTTTAGTATCCTGTGGGGTTCCATAGAGCACAATTACGAGAATCCCTGATTGCTTCACTTCTGTCTAAGAAAACCGAAGCCCAGGGCATGGGGGAATGGGCTTTGCCTAGGTCACGTGTGAGGCATTATTGATGGAGCTTGAGGCAGGTCTGCTTGACCTGCCCCTACCCTGACCCCCCTCCTCACCAAGGATTCCTTTTGTTCCTCCTGTTCTGCTCTTGCAAAACTGCATTTATAATAGTGCAAGTATACATGTTGACCCTGCATGGTTAAAAAAAAACAAAACCCACAAAACACCATAAGCTAAAAGTCTGTCTCCTTTCTGAGAGGCAAAGTGGATGTTTTTAACCTTTGTCTGTAGTGTTCTCATCTGGGTCACAGGGATCTCTCCTGGTCAGTTTGTTTGTTCCTATGCATTATCTGTGGACAGCAGGGAAGTTGCACAGCTATTTAAGTGCCAACTGTGTGTCCTGGCTTGTATCAGGCTCCCGGTTGAAACTCAAAGCAGAGAAACACTCTCAGGGACTCAGGAGCAGTGTGAACAGCTGTGACTGAGCTCTTATTTTTACAGACACTACTGACGTGTGACTGGTTGTGTCCTTTCTTCTTTTCACAGTACTTTTGCTTTAGAGCTCTAAAAGACAATGTGACCCGTGCCCACCTGCAACGACTAAGGAGGAATCTCGCTCACCAGCAGCATGACATCACGGTGAGGGTCATCTTCTTCTGACATCCATTCTCCTTTCAACCTTTGTGCTTCCAGATTTGTCCCCAGACCTTTAGACTCTGAAACCTTAGTGTCCATTTTCTTTAGTGATCTACATCAGCCGATAGAGAAACCCATGTTTTTGCCTTGTTATGTCCCATTTTTTATCTATTTGCTAAGAAAATTGATATTTGAATCAGAAGTCAGGGACTGCAGATTCTTCTTTTCTTTTTAAAGATTTTTATTAAAATATAGCTAACATACAATATTAGTTTCAGGTGTACATCATAGTTATTCAACAGTACCCACCTAGCACTATACAGAGTTATTACCGCATTATTGATTATATTCCCTATGCTAAAGTGATCACTATGATAAATGCAGCAACCATCTGACACTGTACCACGCTATCACAATATTATTGATCTTCCCCCCACCCCATTTTAAATTTTTCAATTAGAGTTGACAGTATTATTTTATATTAGTTTTAAGTATATATCATAGTGGTTAGACATTTATATAATTTAGGAAGTGATGCCTGTGACTAGTACCACCTGGCACTATACATAGTTATTAGCACATTATTGATTGTATTCCCTATGCTTTACATCCCCATGACTATTTTGTAACTACCAATTTGTATTTCTTAATCCCTTCACCTTTTCCACCCTGCCCCCAACCCCACTCCTACCTATCACCCCCAAATCTAGTACCCATCTGACACCATGCATAGTTATTATAATATTATTGACTATATTCCATATGCTATACCCTGCATCCCATGACTACTTCCCGTAACAACCAATTTGTACTTCTTAATCCCTTCCCTTTCTTTCACCCACTCCCATCTAGCAACCATCAAAATGTTCTCTGTATCTTTGAGTTTGTTTCTGTTTTGTTTGTTTATTTTGTTCTTGAGATTCCACTTATAAGTGAAATCATATTACATTTGTCTTTTGCTGTCTGACTTATTACACTCAGCACAGTACCCTCTGGGTCCATCCATGTTGTTGCAGATGGCAAGCTTTCATTCTTTTTTTACAGCTGAGTAATATTCCATTGTATATATGTACCACCTCTTCTTTATCCATTCATCCATTCAGGGACACCCAGGTTGCCTTTATATCTTGGCTTATGTAAATAATGCTGCAATAAATGTATGGATGATCGTGTCCCCTCGAAGTAGCATTTTGGGTTTCTTTGGATAAATACCCAGAGGTAGGATTACTAGGTCCTTCCTTGTCTCTTGTTATAGTCTTTGTTTTAAAGTCTGTTTTGTCTGATATAAGTATTACTACTCCAGCTTTTTGTTTGTTTAATTTGTTTCCATTTTCATGAAATATCTTTTTCTGTCCCTTTACTTTCAGTCTGTGTGTGTCTCTTACAGGCAGCATATGTAAGTGTTGTTTTCTTATCCATTCAGCTGCCCTGTCTTTTGATTGGAGCCTTTAATACATTTCCGTTGAAAGTAATTGTTGAGGGCCCGCCGAGTGGCGCATTGGTTAGGAGTTGACTTGGGATGCCAGCTCTGAGCGGCAGGGCCCTGGTTCGGATCCCATGTGAGGCCCAGTGACGCTGCGCCCTCTACAGCTAAGATAGTGAACAACAGCTCGACCTGGAGCTGGGCTGCCGTGAGTCGCCGGCAACAGCGTAGGCTGCAGTGGGGTTGGCTGGCAGCGGGCTTGAGCTTTCGTGAGCTGCCGTGAGCGGCCGTCCAATGGCCAGCGAGCGACTGCCTCACCTGGGAAGAACTCAATGATAATACCAACATGGGCCAGTGAAACAATGTCCTCAACTAGACTGAAGAACAAAAGGACAGCAATTTGTCTGTTCTCCTTCCCCAATTCCCCAATAAAATCTTAAAAAAAAAAAGAAAGTAATTGTTGATAGGTATATAGTTACTGCCATTATATTCATATATATATATACATATATATATATATATATATATATATATGTATATATATATATATATATATATATATATATATATACACACACACACACACACATATTCATCTTCAAGAAGTTCTCTAAGATTCCTTATAATATTGGTTGGGTGGTGATGAACTCCTTTAGCTTTTTCTTGTCTGGGAAGTTCTTTATCTGTCCTTCGATTCTAAATGATAGCTTTGCTGGGTAGAGTAATCTTGGTTGTAGGTCCTTGCTTTTCATCACTTTGACTATTTTCTGCCAGTCTCTTCTGGCCTGCAAAGTTTCTGTTGAGAAATCAGCAGACAGTCTTATGGAGGCTCTGCTTTTAACCTTCTCTCTTTGTCTTTAACTTTTGGCATTTTAATTATGATGTGTCTTGGTGTGGGCCTCTTTGGGTTCATCTTTTTTGGGACTCTCTGCGCTTCCTGGGCTTGTATATGTATTTCCTTCACCAGGTCTGGGAAGTGTACAGTCATTATTTCTTCAAATATGTCTTCTTCTTTTTTCTTTTTTTAAAGGTTCTTTTGGGGAAGGGGAACAGCCAAGTTGTTTTCCTTCAATCTTAGTTGTGGAAAGCGCAGCTAGCTCAGCTCCAAGTCCAGTTGCCATCCGGCCGCCCGTCGGCAGCTCAGGGCAGCTCAGCTCAAGGTGCCGTGTTCAATATTAGTTGCGGGTGGGCATAGCCCACCATGCCATGTGGGAGTCCAACTGGCAACTTCGTTGCTCTCGCCAGCTGAGCCATCCTGCCACCTGTTGGCAGCTCAAGTTCGGGCACAGCTCACTGGCCCATGTGGGAATCGAACTGGCCACCCTGTTTCTCAGAACTTGCACTCTTTATTTATTTATTTATTTATCTTTTGAGACTTGGAGGATGGGAACAGTGCTGGGGAATTGGGAGAAGGGGAACAGACAAGTTGCTATCCTTTTTTTTCTTCATTCTAGTTGTGGAGGACGTTGCTTCACTGGCCCAAGTTGGCACCATCACTGCGCTCTTCGCGGGCGAGGCAGATCAGTCACCGGCTTCTGGACGGCCGCTCATGGCGGCTGCTGGCTGCTGGCTACACACGGTAGCCCATGGCAACCCACTGCTGCAGGGGCTGCAGCCTATGCCGTCGCCGGCGACTCACGGCAGCCCAGCTCCAGGTTCAGCATCTTAGCTGTGGAGGGCAGTGTCACTGGCCCTCATATGTGGGATCCGAACCGGGGCCCTCTGGCATCCCAAGCCAGCTCTTAACCAACGTGCCACTTGGCCGGCCCCAGAACTCGCACTCTTAACCAACTGAGCCACTTGGCCGGCCCCTTCAAATAGCTTTCATTTCCTTGTACTCTCTCTTCTCCTTCTGGTACCCCTATGATGCAAATGTTGGTACACTTGATGTTGTCTCAGAGGCCCCTTAAACTCTCCTCAATTTTTTGGATTCTTTTTTCTTTTTGCTAACTCTGATTGAGTGTTTTCTGCTATCTTATCTTCTACATCACTGGTTTGATCCTCTACTTCATCTAATCTATTGATTTCCTATAATGTATCCTTTATTTCCACTATTGTATTCTTTATTTCTCACTGGTTCTTTTTCATGTTTTCTATCTCATTTTTGTTTCCTACCTCCTTGTTAAAGTTCTCCCTGAGGGGCCTGCCGAGTGGCTCAGTTGGTTAAGAGTTGGCTTAACACCGTGAGTGGCCATCCAATGGCCGGTGACCGACTGCCTCAGCTGGGAAGAGCGCAATGATAATACCAACATGGGCCAGAGAAGCTACGTCCTCCACAACTAGACTGAAGAACAACAAAAAAGGACAGCAACTTATCTGTTCCCCCTCCCTGATTCCCCAATGCTGCTCCCTCCCCCCAATTCCCCAATAAAATCTTTAAAAAAATAAGAAAAAAAGAGTTGGCTTAACAGCGCAAGCTCTGAGCAACGGGGCCGCTGGTCATTTCCACATGGGCCAGTGACACTGCTCCCGAGCTGAGATGTTGCTGAGCTCTCAACAGGTGGCAGGATGACTCACCTGGTGTTACAACAAGATTGCCTGTTTGATGGTGGGCTACGTGCACCCACAACTAAGACTGAACTCAGCACCTTGAGCTGAGCTGCCACCCTGATGGCTCATTGGATAGAATGTGCGCTTTTAACAACAAGGCTGCTGGTTCAACTTCCGAATGGGATGGTGGCTATGCCCACCCACAACTAAGATTGAACACAACACCTTGAGCTTAGAGGCCACGAGCTGCCGACGGGAAGCCAGATGGCAACTGTCGCCCTCCACAATGAAGAATGAAAAACAACAACTTGGCTGGTCCCCTTCCCCAATTCCTCATTACTGTTTCCCTCCCCCAATTCCCCAATAAAACCTTAAAAAAAAAAAGTTCTCCCTGAGATCAGTGAGCATCCTTATAACCAATGTTTGGAACTCTGTGTCTGGTAGGTTGCTTGTCTCCATTTTGTTTATTTCTTTTTTGGAGTTTTGTTTTGTTCTTTTATTTGGGACATGTTTCTTTGTCTCCCCATTTTGGCTGCCTCTCTGTTTCTTTCTATGTATTAGGTAGGGCTGCTATGTCTTTCGGTCTTAGTATAGTAGCCTTATGTAGTAGATGTGCTGTGGGGTCAGTGACACAGTCTTCTGGTCACATGAGCTATGCATTCCAGGTTTGTCCCTTGTGTGGGTTGTGTGTGCCTTCTTGTAGTTGAGCCTTGGTTACTATTTGCACATCAATAGGAAGATTGATCCTCTGGCTGATTGGTTGTGAGGACTGGCTGTGACTACAGTGGAGGAATTGTGGTGCAGGGGCTGACCCTACGGAGCAGGATCTGCCTCAGCAGGGCTCTGGCGCCTACTCATTCCACCCCTTGGGTGTGTCGTTCTTGGAAGTGGCTGGATGATGCTCCACCTCGTTTCGAAGCTGGCCACTGGGGCCGCCAGCCTCAGGATCGCCTTGGAGGGGATTTGCTGCAGGTCAAGTTCAGCTGTAGCCCATGCCCTACCTGGGGCCACCCAGCAGGAGCCACAGAGAAATCCACAGATGCCCACTGCTCATGCTGTGCTTGGAAGTGCCTCAAGAGGCTAAGCTGCGAACCAAGGCTGGCTGTCACTAGTGCCAGGCTTAGGGCTGCTCAACCAGAGGTACAGGACACGCTCAAGCCATATGCTGTTTGTCTGGGTTCCGCGAACCTTTGAGAGACCCTAGGAAAGTCTGCAGCATAAGCTAAAGCAGGCAGCTTTGTAAAACAAGCTACTGGAAGAGGCTTGGGTATGCCTAAAAGTTGGGTTTGGTGACCAGGGCGTGGCAAACGATCAGCGGAGACTCAGATGTGGTGTCGCCTGCATCTGCATCTAGGAGGAGGGAGGGCTCAACAGAGAAACAATGGCTTCTACCAGTCCAGGAGGAGAAAGCTGCCCCTCCAGCCCTTGTCCTGAAACCAGACAATTCAGTTCCCCACCATATGTCTCTGCTGCCTCTACAGCTGCTGCCTCATCACTGGAGCGCAGAGCCAGTGATTCTATCGGAGGGTAATTCCCCATGAGGTCCCTTTAAGAAAAGCACCTGGGGGCCGGCCGAGTGGCGCGATGGTTAAGAACTCGCTTGGGATGCCAGAGGGCCCCGGTTCGGATCCCACATATGAGGGCCAGTGACACT